TTCCAAACACTGATGAGATTTTAATGAATTTATCACGGAAGAGGTATAGCAGCTACTGGGAATTTCTCTTCCTGGAGCTATTATTACACATTAAGGGTGCATCCAATCCACACTGCAGAAATAATCCAGTTTGACATGACTTTAACTGCCATGGCTCAATGCTATGGAATTCTGGGGATGGTAGTTTTGTGAAATATTTCATCTTCTTTGTCAGAGAGCTCTGGTGCCACAACAAACTACAAACTGAGCCATGGCAATTAAAGTGGTGTGAAACTGGATTATTTTTGCAGTGCGGATGCAGCCTACATTAGTAATCAGTATGGATAATAGCATTCAATGTAGCAAGAATATGGATCTCACTGATTAGAGCCCTTTTTATGGGTAACAATGTCTGAAGCTCTGACAGCATTCCAGGCCTTCACTATTAAGATGGCATGAGTGTTGGACTATGACACTGGAGATTTGGATTTGCTTCCCTGCATGGGCATAAAAACCCACTGGGTGACCTTGGGCAAGCCACTTTCTCTCAGCCTCAAAGGATGGCAAAGGCAAATCCCTCTGAATAAACTTGCCAAGAAAACCCAGTGAAAGGTTTGCCTTAGGGTTGCCATAAGTCATAAATGCCTTGGAGGCACGCAACGACAAGAACAACGGACAAAAACATGCACCCTTGTTCAAAGCTCAAAAGCAGGATCAATGTGAGCTCAAAACAACTTTATGAATGGTACCTCTACCCCCCACCCAGCTTTCTGAAGGGCCTAGCAACTTTCCGGGAAATGGCAAGGCCAGGTGGAACAAGAGGCAGGCCTTGGCAGGGTATTTTTTGTCTCTTCAGGGGATGAGACTGGCTCTTTCAGGAAAATGGCATATGCAGTATTGAAGAATCTAGACTTGGTCGATGCTGTCACACTCTTGACTGGAAGTGATGCCCCACCACACCAATGAAAGCACCTGCAATAATTTCTATTTCCACAGCACTCTTGGGGGACAGGGAAGAGCCCCTCACCACCATGAGTCCCTATATTGGGAGAAAAGCAGAATATAAAGAAAATTAAAAATAAAAAAAAAAAATAAGAGAGTTATGGGAGCAGCAGATGTGGGTGCTTAACAATTGTTCACAAACATTTTGTAAGTTCTCAAACTAAACTTAGAACCAACACAGTTCAATTACATATGTTACCTCTGAAGCGCTGAATTATATGAAGACATATAACCAAGTCCTTTTCATAAAAAGTCATTTTTGCTAACATAGGGCCTTTGCAGACTGCCAGAAATAGTGCACATTAAATTGAGGCACTGCCCTGGCTCAGTGCTAGGGAATCATGGGAACTGTAATTTATTGTGGCACCAGAGCTCTCTGACAGAGAAGGCTCAATGTCTCAGAAAAAAATACAGTTCCCCTGATTCCCTAGCACTGAGCCAGGGCAGTGCCTCAATTTAATGTGCACTATTTCTGGCAGTCTGCTTAGGCCCATAGTTGCTGTTTTGTAAATGGTTCCTCTTTTTCTTCCTTAGTTTACTCCTTAGTTGGGCCGAGGAAGGCTAAAATGCTCTGGAGACATTTTGAATTTCCACCCCCCCAAACTTAAGATAATTTTCATAGGTAAGACAATTTTGATCTTTTTTAAAAACAAAGAAATTAAAAATATAGTGGGGAAAAGTAAAAAAAAATCTAATGATGCAATGCAAAGAGGAACACAAGAAGTAATATTCAAATCCACTTATAATGACAGCGACAAGAAGTTTCTTTAGTGGGAGTCTCCTCTCAATGAATTACAATTAATTTCTTTTGAAAGGTAACTTCTCAAGGTATGCCTCAAACCAAAAACAATGGGAAACCCCACAGAGTGTGCCTCTGCATGCATATATATATAGTGGTCCAAGAACAGCGGTCTGTTGGGGCCCTGAACACACTCCTCTTAGAGGCCTGACTGGAACCAATGCTAGGATTGTTCCTGTACTAAGTCAAAAGATTTTTTAAAAAAATTATTAAAATTATTTAAAATAATTATTAAAATTATTTATTTTAAAGCCTAATTTATTTTATCCAATTTTGCACATTTGTAATGATTTAAAAATATTTGAAAGTATTTTAGCTGGTTTTACATCATCTTGTTTTAAGTATTAAATGGTTTAATATGCTTTGAAATTATTAATATTATTATTTTAAACTGTTTTCAGTTCATTTTATTATAGTTCATTATATTATGGGGTGGGAGGATTAGGGTGTGGGATATAGGAATTTTACATTGTCTCTTGTTTTTAAATTATGCTGTATGCCGCCCCGATTGCTAAGCAGAGGGGCGGCTTAGAAATAAAACTTATTATTATTATTATTATTATTAGGACTCCTTGAGACTCTAAGATACAGGGTGCAATGTATGTGAGTGCTGTGTGCATTCATTTCCGACTTATGGTGACCCTAAAACAACCCTATAATGGGGTTTTCCTGACAAGATTTGTTCAGAGGAGGTTTGTCATTGCCTTCCCCTGAGGCTGAGAGAGTGTGACTTGCCCAAGGTCACTCAGTGGGGTTTATGGTCAAGCTGGGATCGAACCCTGGCCTCCAGAGTTGGAGTCCAACACTCAAACCACTGTGCTATGCTGGCACTCACAGGGTGGGATATAAATATTTAAATAAATAAAAATACATATTTGAGACAGCATTTCAATATAAATGGAAAATAATAATAATGGATGACATAAATGGACACAATCGAGCTAGAAAAAAATTCACAACCTGTTCATTCCTATAATATTTGTGATGGACATTTCCCCAACTGAACTTAACAGTGTGGGTGAGAATATAAGGCCGACTTGCAAACAGAAGAAACAATAAAACACCTCAACTCTAGTCTTCCACCAAAGGTGTAACTGTAAAGAGACATAGGGCCTTTGCAGACTGCCAGAAATAGTGCAAATTGAGTCCACTTTAAGGGTTAGGGTTAGTGCTAGGGAGTCATGGGAATTGGTTTTTTCCCCCTGAGACATTGAGCCTTCTCTGTCAGAGAGCTCTGGTGCCACAATAAACTACAGTTCCCATGATTCCCTAACCCTAACCCTAACCCTTAAAGTGGACTAAATTTGCACTATTTCTAGCAGTCTGCAAAGGCCCATACGCTAAAAGCTACCTATCAAAGTGGCTATGCTTAGGTACAATGCAGCTGAATTCAGTTCCTATATAGCCTCCTCTTCCAGTGTATGTGAAAGCTACATGGCCGGAGACAGAGGATGGTGCAAAGACAAAGCAAAACACTGCACAACGCAACAGCGCAGGGGCACTTGTGGCTATCTTGTGTTGTGATACATAAAACTGTGAAGATGATGATTTTGTGCATTCATCTGTTTGTCCCTTTTTTTGTAATACACAATCCTTGTTCATGATGGAAAAGACAGAAAAGACAATTTTATTAATCTGAAGTCACCCTTCTATCTTATTCTAAAACAGTGGGTTTTATATCTGTTTCTAAAGCCTTTATATAAAAAGGCTACTATATTTTCAGCTACTCAGCTATATGCATTTTTCCCAATTATTTTCCTAAGTTGCAGTACTACTTTATTTATTATGCCTTATTCTTCACTTAATGCTTATTTTATTTTTTTGCTGGTGTGGAAATCAAGAGTTTACATTAAACTGATTACATAAGTATAAATAAGCCAGCTTCAGTTTTACTCAGAATGTATTTTAGTATTTTCCATCTTTGATCTGATTTGCACTGCAGAAATAACTCCGTTTGACACCACTTTAACTGCCATGCCTCAATGTTATGAAATCCTGGGATTTATAGTGTGTTGTGGCACCAGAGCTCTCTGACAGAAAATCTGCGAAAACTACAAATCCCAGAATTCCATAGCATTGGCTCACAGCAATTAAAGCAGTGTCATACTGCATTAATTCTACAGTGCAGATAAGACCAAAGTCTCCATGTTTTAAAAAGAAACCACAGGAGCGATGCCATTCATGTTCTTGTACATGTTTTATATATGATAGAGATGAGGCTGTAATTAGCTTACTGGAATCTGTTCATTTTCCTAGATGATCCCACATTTAAGAGGAATGTACAACTGAGATCTACAGAATTAAAAATGGAGACTTAAATTTTTTTTTTTTTAAATACACTTCACAGAATCTTCCCCAGGATTTGGAGTAATGACCACTGACCTAACAGACTGAATGAAAAAGATACTGCTGCTAAAGCATTGCAGCTCTTTGTAGGGCTGTCAGAAAGAAGAAGGTACCCATGTTTGTTCATTTGGTCTGCATCTTTCCTAAAGAGCTGTAAGCTCTTGCAAAGTGAGCAATGTACCTAAACTGGCAGGCATTACATCCTGCAAAAGATAAAAGATAAAAATAAAAATATTTCCAGATTCTTGGCTGAAAGATATCCTTGTTCACAAAGGGCCTTTGCAGACTGCCAGAAATAGTGCAAATTGAGTCCACTTTAAGGGTTAGGGTTACTGCTAGGGAATCATGGGAATTGTTTTTTTTTTTCTGAGACATTGAGCCTTCTCTGTCAGAGCTCTGGTGCCACAATAAAATACAGTTCCCATGATTCCCTAACCCTAACCCTTAAAGTGGACTCAATTTGCATGATTTCTGGCAGTCTGCAAAGGCCCTAAGTGTCTTAGGATGTGTGTGCATGTGTCTTCAAGTCATCCGTCGGCTTATAGCAATCCTATGAATCCCATAGGGTTTTCTTGGGCGAGGAATATTCAGAGGTGATTCGGTCAGTTCCTTCCTCTGAAATAAAGCCTACAGCATCTGTTATTTGCTGGCAGTCTCCCATCCAAGTACTAAGAAGGGCTGACCCTGCTTAGCTTCCAAGATCAGACAAGTTTTATATACAGTATCCATATTTGCAATATTGCTAGAGTTTCCATTTGCTGCAGCTGACATGCCCATTTGCTGCAACTGACATGCCCAGGCTTCTTCACTTCATATTTTACTACAGGGCCTTTACTATACAGAGGCTTCTAGCAAACAGAGAGAAAAGAATTCAGTTATATAAAAATAAGTTGCACATTCTGGGTCCTCTCACAGTATTTTATATTTGGATGGAATGGATTACTGCAATTTCCTTTAAAATATATAACAAGTGCTCCAAGCAGTGCTGGCTCCAGCTTATGGAGCTCCCTTGACCAAAATGCTCCGAGAGTACCAATGCTTGAATACTAACACTAGAACAGGTCTATTTCGTCCTACTTGCAGTCAACACGGTCACATATCTTGCCCTCTTCCTTTTGGGCAAAATCCATACCAATGGCCAAAAGGATAGGGCAAGTGGACCAGAAACTTCTGGTTCTGATCAATTTATTTACTTGGAGGGAACAAGTGGGGAGACAGCTACAACAGAAGAAAAGCCAGTAGGTTCTGAGGTCATCCTTACTTGTGTTCACTACCCATGAAAATAAAATACAAAATAAAATTCACAAGAGCTAATGTTGCACACTAGCTTGGAAAGAAGAAACAGAAATAAATTTCCAGTCAGGTGGAAAAAGGATGGTGATGGAGGTGGGAAAGTCGTTTCTTTCATCAGTTGATGGCATCAACACTGTTCCATCAGTACTTGAAAGAACTGCTTCACAACCTTATGAACAGCAATCCATAGTCGAATAACTTGGGGGAGTATTGGGATGAATCCAAAGTTCAATTGGCTGAACTTTTTGAACTTTCACACCCTCCTCCCTCTTTGCAGCCCTCCACACACCCTGAAAATTGACTCTGGTGGATTTCTTAGCCTTCCAGATTTGCACTGTGCGACACACAGGGGCTTGCAATGGGGAGGAGGTATCATTCTGCTTGATTTCATTTTTTTCTGCAAGTAGATGCTCACTGTCAGATCCTGCTCATTGTACTTTTCAAAGTGGCTTGGTTCTGGATCCTTCTCCCATCAAAAATACCAAAATTTTAGATTTTTTAATCCCAGTGAACCACAACCACCAGAATCCATCAGCCAGCACAACACTGGTCATTCTGGCTGGGTTATTCTTAGATATATATCAAAAGAGTAACTCTTCCACACAATCTGATGGGAAAATATGTGCCTCCTTTTTAAGAGAGTGTGTGGAGATTTTTTGGGAGCAGGAGAGCGAACAACTGGGGAGGTGCTCTTGTTTCTCCCCAAAAGGGATTACTGCACACAAACTGAAAACAGCTAGTAAAGAGCAACCAGTTTCATTATGTCAAATGAGAAATGAATTTTGATGCTCAGACAGTTAAGTGTTCACTACTTATATGTTCTCTGATCTCAAGCACTTTTGAATATTTTGATGCAGCTGTTGGGAGGGTCTGTCTGCTGGTTAATCTGAGTGCAATGTCATCAGTATGTGATGGACCCTGAATATATTTTTTTTGATACTGAACTTATGAACTGAAGTTAGAATCATGTTTCTGGACTCTCTTAGAGCTTGGATGGAGAAGTACAGATTCATCCAGAGAAAACAAAAATTATAAGCAAAGGCTGGATGGCCATCTGTTGGGGATGCTTTGATTGGGAGTTCCTGCATGGCAGGGGGTTGGACTGGATGGCCCTTGTGGTCTCTTCCAACTCTATGATTCTATGATTCCCTGATATTCACAATTCAGCTTCAAGAAAATGCTACTTGTTACAGACACAACTGTACACAGTTGCATTCTATGATTCTTTAAGATGCACTGTAGAAGTGCATCATTTTCCACAGAAGGTACATATTCTTGAAAGCAAGAATGTAGGGAACAGCCAGGAAACAAATGCTCACATTATAGTGTACATACAGCACAGTGAATGAAACAGTTACTTACTAAAATCAGCCAGTTAAAGGTACATTTTTTCTACTTTGCATGAAAATTAAAATGAAATGAAAATTTGGAGACAAACATTGAAATTAATAACTGAAAATAAAGAGATCTTCGGTAAGTTAGCCTTGGTAAACTTTACTGATTTCAGAGGAAAATCATAGGGGTCTAACAGTGCTATGCTTTGCCTGAATTCCAACTGTCTTTAAAAAGAGTTACTCCCAGGTAAGTGTAGAATTGCAAATAAACTTTAGCAGGATTGGTGCTAGAAGCTACAATACTGTGTATATTTATTTGTTCATAAACTCTCTCTTTCCTCCTAATGTAATGTATATATTTCTCTGTCCACAGTAATGCACATATTTCTTAATATTAAATCTTCTAGAGCCTAGTATAATAAAATCAGTAAGCCCCACCAAACTCAGACTCGGTGACAAGTAAACTTAACATATGATTGAGCTGCAAATGGCACTACTAGCATCACTTTCAAAAATACCTGTGTTGTCCATGAATTTGGCGTGCACCTTAAGATTAATTTGTGTATACTATGTTTTTAAAGATAACTACACTGAGCATAAAGCAAGCTGCTTTATCTGTTTTATGAATTTGTAATCATATGCATATCTGTTTTATGTCTGCTGAAATACAAACGGTGGCCCTAGTCCTATACAAAATTACTTGAGAATAAGCCCCACAGAACTTAGTGGAACTGATTAGTGAATAAGCATACAGAGGACTGCAGACTAGATTACAGGAAACATTTACACAATGAGAGCTGTATAAGCTGAAATGATGTGTACACAACAGTGCCAGCTATCTAGAACAGGAAGAATT